GAACTGTGGGGTCCTTGGTGCTCTCTGAGCTCGCTTCTTTTCTTGCAGATGTTTCATGACCCAAACTAGGTAACATTATCCAGGCTAGTCTCAGAGAGCACCAAGGGGTCAAAAATGATTTGATGGCACACAATCATTTAATCAAGAGACAGAGAGAGTGAGAGAGGAGGAAGCTGACCAATGAGCTTTGTGCCAAGTAGGTTGGATCCTGATTCTCCTGGGAGGTCCACCTCTCTGCACACTCTGTCACATTTCTTACATTTCTTTTGAGATGGGCTCCCTACGCATGAAGACTGTCGTGTAAATTTAGGCCACTAGTTAAAGTTCCGGCTGTACGATTTATGTCCTTTCGCCTGGACCCACCTCCCCAACTGTGTCTTCCCTGCAGTGCTTCTACCCCAGAGACGTGGGCCAAGCACAGCCATGACAACATCTACAGGGCTGAGCGAGAAAGGTTGGCCTCCGTCAACCTCCGGGCCCTGGTTGACAACATCCTCCACGACACAGCCGAGGATCTGCACCTCCAGTTTGATGTGGTGAACCAGACCTTTGCCAAGCGCTGTGAGGAGCTGGAAGATGCCAAGCACAAGCTGGAGCACAGTTTACGAAAAGTAGGGGCTTCCCTCCTCTGGTCCTCCCACTGGGGTTTATGACAACTCACCATGGCCAGCTCACCATGGCCAACTCAATAAGGCTCACTTGCCATGGCCAGTTAGCTGCGGGACAAGAGTTACATTCATACCAAAGAAATCATCTTCTTATAATGACCCCGTAATGCTTTGCGGGGTGGAGTCTGGGCGACTGAATGGAGCTGAGTGGTTACTGGCCGGATGCCCTTCCTGTTGCCAGTCAGGAGTTTTGTTCAGCAGTTCAGGGTGCCCAGAGAGAGAAATATCTGCCTCTACCTAGGATCAAACTCACAACCTCCTGTTTGTGAGGTGAGAGATTCCACCTGTGAGTCACTGTACCACTCACTCATACCAAAGAAATGGTGGAAGAGGATCATTAAAGAAAGGATGCAAAAGGAGGGACAGAATGAAATGGGAATAGCAAGAATTAAAATCACTTGTATTTGTTTAAAATAATTAAATAGAATCGTTAAATTGTCCCACAGTGAGTTGGCCATGGCAAGTTGTCCTATTCTCCTTCCACTGTGGGGGAGCTGAGAGCAGTCTTGATGCTTGAAGTCCAAGCTTTTGGGAAAACATGGGAGCAGCTTTTAAAGGACGGAGAAGAGAGTTTGGGTTAGCCCCATAAACATTTTGGGGGGCCAGGGGGAAAGAATTGTTTGTGAGAAGTAGCTATAGAAGATGAAACCAAGGAGGGTGGTCTTGTTGATCTTGATCCTCCTTTGTACAGCAAATTCCGTTGATCTTCAGCTTCGGGCTTTAGAAAGAACCTAGTTTGTTGCAGCCTCACAACAAGTCGCATCTGCTACAAGTTAGGAATGAGACTATTCCAATATTTTTTGGTAAAAGCACAGTTGGTCCCAAGAGGGTGGATGATTTAGCACCAGAAGGATCTTCTTTTAGCGGTTGGATTAGTGCAACTTTTGATATAATCCTACAGTAAATGTGTCCAGAGCTGTCTGGCTTACTGTTAAGAGCAAATTCAAACTTTGGCTAGTAGCTTTAAAAAAAAATACTTGTTTGTTATTATGACATCAAGTTATTTTGCGTGGATTAGATTCTTCTCATCTGGTGCAGAATTTAAACTGCATCAACAGCAGTCTTTTGCTACATCAAAAGTTTGCAGTTTTCCTGGAAATATATCAGCACAGCTTACCTAAAATATTTGCAACATGATTTTGCAAATTGGCAGATGATACCAAGCCGGCAGGAAAAGCCAACACCCCAGAAGACAGGCTCGGGATCCAAAAGGATCTTGGCAGACTTGAACAATGGGCCCTAGCCACCAAAATGAAATTTAATGTGGAGAAAAGTGAGGTTTTACACCAAGAAAAACAAAGGTACAAATGCAGATTAGGTGAGACCAGGCTCAAAAACAGTAACTGTGAGAGCACCTTGGAGTCTTAGTGGATGGTCACTTAACCATGAGCCAGTAGTGTGTGGCAGCAGCAAAAAGTAAAAAAGGTAATACAATCCTTGGTTGTATAAACAGAGCCATACAATCAAAATCATGTGAACAGTATTAGTACTGCTTTATACAGCCTTAGTAAGACCACACCTGAAATACTGTATTCAGTTTTGCTCATCACATTACAAAAACGATGTTGAGACTACAAAGAGTGCAGAGAACAGCAACCAGGATGATTAGGGGAGGCTAAAACATACGATGAATGGTTGCAGGAACTGGGCCTGGCTAGTCTAGGGAAGAGAAGGACCAGGGGAGAGAGGAGAGCAGCCTTCCAATATCCGAGGGGCTCCTACAAAGACAAGGGTGTGTGGCTGTTGTGGTTAGCCAGCAGCAGGTGCAGATGGCTGAGGAGAGTGAAGACTCAGATGAGGGACCAGGACCACCAGGGAGTGGACTGCTGCCTTCAGAGATTGTGGGGGCTGGCAGCAGCGATGAGGAGTTTCCCGAGGAGACTGTGCCAAGTGCACGTGCACGAAGGATTGCTCGGAGGAAAGAACAATTACAGCAGCACAGGCGACTCGGGAGTAAGGTTGCAAGGCAATGGCCCCTCCCTCAAGAGGATAAAAGCCAGGTTTGGAAAAGCGTTTTTTGCAGACAGCAAAGAAGCTCTGAAACTCAACTGGTGGACATCTTAGTTCCTGTTTGGAGAATCTTGCAAATTAGTTCTTATCTCTGGGTTTTTGGCAGCCTTGACAAACAACTTGGCAGGGCTCTTTCTTGTCGGAGCTAATTAGCGGAAAGCAGCCTTCAGAACAGAATTCGTTATTAAACCTTAAAAGGTGGGGGCTGCTGCCTTTGGTTTGTTCTTTGGGAACCCGGTTGGGTCAGAACAGCGTCAAGCGATTTCCCAAAGCACCAGAAGGCAACACAAGAAAGAAGGGATGGAAACTAATCCAGGAGAGAAGCAACCTGGAATTAAGGAGAAACTTCCTTAGAGTGAGAACAATCAACTAGTGAGACAGCTTTGCCTTAGAAATTGTGGGAGCTCCATCACTGGAGGCTTTCAAGAAGAGATTGGACAACCGTTTGTCTGAAATAGTATAGGGTCTCCTGCTTGAGCAAGGGGTTGGACTAGAAGACCTCCAAGGTCCCTTCCAATTCTATTCTGATTGATTGATGGAATATTTTTGGGGGGAAATAATATACCTTGATTCAATTCTTTGCAAATTGTTGTTGGTCCCTACACCATTGGTGATCAGTTACTGTGTGTTTGTTGGTTGGGTTGTGCGTTTGTTTGTTTATGTCACTATCTTTCCTATCCTTTCTGAACAGACCCTGCAGGAGATTGGGCACCAAGAGCACAACATTGAGGCGCTGAAGCAAGCGATCAAGGATAAAGAAACGCCCCTCAAAGTAGCTCAGACAAGGCTGTATGATCGCTCCTTTAGGCCCAACGTGGATCTCTGCAGAGATGCTGCCCAGTTCAGGTAAGTCACTGGGCAGTATATTAACTTAAAGGATGACAATGAGGATGAGGAGGATAATAATGTACACCACTGTTTTTCAACCTGAGTGGTGCGGTGGGCTGGAGGTGGAGCTCTCATCTCACAGCCAGGAGGCTGTGAGTTCGATCCTAGGTAGAGGCAGATATTTTTCTCTCTCTGGGCACAATGAGAATATATCTGCCGAACAAAACTCCGCATTGGTGACAGGAAGGGCATCTGGCCAGTAACCATTCAGCTCCACTCAGTTGCCTAGACTCCACCCCACAAGGGATTATGGGGCCCTTAAATAATGGTGGTGATCACTGTTTTTCAACCTCAGCAACTTTGAGATATATGGATCTCAATTCCCAGCACAGTGGCAGAGGAATTGTGGGAGTTGATGTGCACCCTTTTTAAAGTTCCGGAGGTTAAGAAATTCTGGTGCAAGTGATGGTTGAGCTACTCACCCACTAAACGAAGAATAAAGATTCAATCTTCTGGTCTTGTTGGGTAAGGATTGTGCTTCCACGTGGCATGTGATGTGACCTTGATGTTGATAGAAGGGGTATCTGCAAGGTGTGGTGCAAAAAATCAGGTTGACAGATTACAGCCAAATAAACCTAAACTGGGCAGTGTCTTTTGAGCTATTATTTACATATATGGCATTTACAACAAATAATTAATAATTTTGGTAAAGGTAATTTGGTTTACTTAGCAATTCTGGCATGCTTTCAGTCTCCACTGTCTTGCAATTGTTCTAACATTTTTGAAATAACCTCAATCTGGAGTCTTGGACATACTATAAAAAAGATGTTGAGACTCTAGAAAGAGTGCAGAGAAGACCAACCAAAATGATGAGGGGAACTGGAGGCTAAAACATACTGTGAACAGTTGCAGGAACTGGGCTTGGCTAGTCTAGGGAAGAGAAGGGCCAGGGGTGACAGGATAGCAGCCTTCCAATATTTGAAGGGCTGCCACAGAGAGGAGGGGACCAGGCTGTTTTTCAAGGCACCCGAAGGCCAGACAAGGAATAATGGATGGAAACTGATGGAAAGAGATTCAACCTGGAAATAAGGAGAAACTTTCTGAGAGTGAGAACCATCAACCGATGGAACAGCTTTTGCCTTCGGGAGTTGTGGGAGCTTAATCACTGGAGGCTTTCAAGAAGAGACTGGACTGCCACCTGTCAGAAATGGTGTAGGGTCTCCTGCTTGGCCAGTGGGTTGGATTAGATGACCTACAAGGTCCTTTCCAACTCTGTTAATCTGTTTGTTTAATCTGTCTATGGAGATTCTCTGTCATTCAGGTCCTGGTTGTCCCAGAGGTGCTTTTTCAAAAAGCAACTGGACTTTCTTCGTTTTTCCTTGAAGACATTTTGCTTCTCATCCAAGAAGCTTCCTCAGTTCTGAGAATGATGAAAAGCGAAATGGAAAAACAAAGTCCAGTTGCCTTTTGAAAAAGCATCTTTTGGAGGTACAAAGATTCAATTTGGACCATAAAATCCTATGGAAAAGATAGAAAAATGGCTTTGTGGACAGTCATAAGTGGGAAGAGGCTGTATCGGAAAGACCAGCCACCAATTATTCCAGAGAGGCATAGATTCAGAGGCGTAATGATACTTATTCACCCCAATTAAGCTTTTTAATTAGGTGCAATTTTCTAACCTCTTTTTTCTCTGGATGAAATCAATTGCCTTGAAAGCATCAGGCTTACCATTCCTATAATCAGCCAGAAAAAAACATGTTTCTCTCTCTTTGAAAATTGAAAATGCTTTTTTTTTTTAATCCACCTTTTTCTTTTGTTAAATTTGAGAACTTGGGGTTTTTTGGGGGGGGAAGGAGCATTAGTGTCAATTATAAACCTTTCAAATACAATTGATTTGTGTTTGCTAATGTATTTAGAAGATTTTTACAGCTGCCCATCTCCTCTATAAAGTATTAAAATGATTTCTGTAGAAGAGACTAAAATTTGTCTATTTACAACATGTTACTCTCGTTTCTGATGCCTGGTATGAATGGTTTAAGAAAAAAAATTAAAATTGCAATTAGGTAAAGAATGAGAAAGTATGTAAATATGTATAGGTGTTATGAAGAAGATTGAAATATAAGATGTAATATATTGATTTGTAGCAAGAGTAAGGGAAGAATTATGCAATAATAATGGAATAAGTTATTATATACAGAAAATGTAAGGAAATGTAAAAGATGTCTTGATATTGATAACAATGTACAAAGTTTTATGTTTTTAATCTTTGAAAATTGAATAAAATATCTAAAAAAAATAAACTGGGTTTAAACTATAACTTCTTGTTTGTATCTTGGGATTTATGTTGATTGCTTTTATTTAGTACCCTATTAGGATTTATGTTGACTGCTTATTTCAGGGCTGTCAAACTCATGGCCCGCAGGCTAGATGTGTCACGCACTGGCCACGCCCACACCTGGTTTAGCAAAGGGGGAAAAAGTCACATGATGATGCCATGACAACGCGAGTTTGACACCCCTGGCTTATTTAGTATCCTGTGAACTATCAATAAATGTCAGGGGTGGCTTCAAATTTTTTAGCGGGGGGGTCTCTGCCCTAATGACTGGATGGGTGGGCATGGCTGGGTGGTCATGTGACTGGGTGGGCGTGGCCAACTTGACATCGCTTCTTTGCCCTTATTACCTAAAAAAGGATATATACCAGAAAGTTGTTTATTATTTCGTGCATTTAATACTTAAATAAAAGACTGGGTGAAACCAGGCTTAATAGCAGTGACTGTGAGAGGGATCTTGGAGTCTTAGTGGAGTTTCTGGTGAGTTATGTGATTCTTATTATTTGGGAATTAATTCCCTCAGAGGCTAGTGGCTATGCTATCTGATTTTCTCAATGGCTCTTCCTCGCAAGCGCTGAGTGGATTGTTTATCTAGCTTGCAACACTTTTACAAGGTGTGAAATGCTCTTGGCTGAACGCCCAGAAGTTCAATTAAGCCTATCAAGAGCTTTCCCTTGCTGCTTGTCCTTCTGAGGTTATTGGGGGATCTCTGAGCCCCACAGAATCTTAGCTAGGGGCTCTCCCGAGCCCTGCGAGCTCCCAGCAGCCCACCCCTGCTAAGCATTGTATCTTATGATTTATGATGATCGTATTTTATGATTATGATCATGATTTCTCACTTGATGCTGAGCGTTTATGCACCTGAGATACATTCCTTGTGTTTCCAACCACACTTGGCCAACAAAGAATTCTCTCATTCTCTTATTATTACTGAGACCACTGTGAGACAGATCCATTTGCTCATGGAGTATGGTTTAGCTAGATGTGCAGGAAAATGGTGAAAATTTCCTAGAAAACGTTATCTCCGGGCCAGTTTCACCCCCAGCTTCTCATTCTCTGTGAGGAGGTCTCCATCCACACTACTAATGTGAGCTCCTCTTTTGCCCTCTGTTCAGGCTCATCAGCGAAGTGGAAGAACTGACTGAATCCATTGACTCTCTCAAAAAGAAGCTTCTGGAATCCGAGCAAAGCCTACAGAATCTGGAGGACAGCCGGATGCATCTGGAGAAGGAGATCGCTGTGAAAACCAATAGCCTTTTTATCGACCGGCAGAAATGCATGGCCCATCGTACCAAATACCCAACTATCCTGAAACTAGCAGGCTATCAGTAGGATGTTGTCACTGGAAGCGAAGTGGGCAATCCGTTTTGGTCTCTGAAGGTTCTACTTTCCTAAAAATGTTGTTTGTGGTTTAAGGTACCATTCTTTAGTCTTGTAAACACTTAACCTTTCTGGGATAAATTAAAATATAGAAATGTTGTCGAAGATAATTGGATGCAATTTTTATTTATTTATTTAATGCAGTATTTCTACACCTGGACCACTTTCCAAGGCATGGACTTCAACTCCCAGAATTCCCCAGCTAGCAAAGTTGACTGGGGAATTCTGGGATTTGGAGTCCATGCCTCAGAAACTGGTCCTGGCTGAGAAACATTGATTTAACTGATTCTCGGAGCCACCCCTCTCGCTTTTACATGATTCTAGACAGCTAACAATAAAATAAAGTACATACAATGCACAATATAAAATAAAAACAATAGACACAGCAACTGAATATTGTCTCTCCAACTTTTCACCCAGCCAAGAGATAGGCTCAGTCAATCCCATGACCAAGGCTGCAGGCTTGTTCACATTGTTCCTAAAGTTCCTGAAATGCTCCTAAAATTCTGAAAAACAGATGTGCAAATTGTAAAGATGTAGCTCATATCTCCTATTCATTGTCAGCTGGTCTTAAGTCATTTCAGATTATTATTCTGGTTCCCATAGTTGAGTAGCTGTTTCTATGGAGTTTTAGAGGGTCAAAGCAGGTAATATCTCTGACCCTGTCCATCAGCCAAGAGCTGGGTGAATCTGAGGATTCCTAGTGATCCATCTTGATTAGTGATCGGTTGATAAAGGCTGAAGTGTTCATGGAGGGAGATGATCTAAGATCAGCTTCCTACGCAGGGCAGGAAATAAAAGTTGAAATATAGATGTAACAACTAAGTCACACAAAAATGGGTTGCTCTGTAAGGTCCTGCCTCTCCTTCTCCCTCAAGAAAGTAAAAACTCTTGAAACTGAGTATGTCAAAAGGAAGCTTTTATTGAGCGGAAGTGAAAACAGGACAAAGGCAAAGCAGACTCTAAATCCTCCCCCCAGGAAATACAGGTAGAAATAAGGCATTAGAAATCCCTCCCTCCGGTCTGATGTGGATTCAGCCAATCCACAGGTGTGGAGATGTCATTGCAATGGCTCTCCTGAAAACCAGGTAAGCAGGCACTCCCAGGGTCATCTTCCTCTGGCTTTCAGAGTGAAACAACCCACATGGCCCTCCCCCCTAATACATTCCCCCAAAGGTGAGAAAATCTCAGGGCACTCAGGCACCAGGATAAAGGTTATAAAACAGCAGTTGTCAGAGGAAATAAGAAAGAATCACATTTGAGGTTCCCCTCCTTCTCCCAATTGAATGGCAGTATCACTTTAGGGATCTGACATGCTTGTTAGGCTGTTGGTTTGAGCTCCGAGCTTTGCAGTTTGGTGGCAAAGGTTTAAAAGGGATCTAAAGGCCTGTGTTTTGACAGACGAGCACAACTCAAAGTACACGGACGATGTCTCCTTGAATGGTGATGAAATGTTTGCAATCCAACTGCCAAGCTTGGAGCTCAAACCAACAGCCTAACTGCCAACCTGAGCGAATAATATTCAAGAATTCCATTCCATTCCATTCCATTCCATTCCATCCCATCCCATCCCATCCCATTCCATTCCATTCTATTCTATTCTATTCTATTCTACCTTACCCTACCCTACCCTATCCTACCCTACCCTATTCTGTCAATGGGAAAACCAGATTCCCTAAATAACCGTGTTACTAACTTAAGCACTGCAGTGATTTACTTAACAACTGTGGCAAGAAAGGTCATAAAATGGGGGAAAAACTCACTTAAGAGATGTCTCCATTAGCAACAGAAATGTTGGGTTCAATTGTTGTAAGTTGAGGACTACCTGTAGTTTAGTTTAATTCAGGTTTGCTGATCGTGTGCGAGGCCCATGAGGCCTGGTAGGCAGAAAAGCAGGATGGAAATGCTGCTTTAAGTGCACTCCTTTATTCTCTCCACATTAATATTTAGGCAATTCTTGTTCAGTTTAGACAGTTGCATTAGAGAAATGCAATGCCTTTGGAGGATTTTCCGATTCGGCAAAGCTGACAAAGGTAATCTAGTTTCTAACTTCAATGGCTAGACTTGTATTCATGCGAAAGAAATACTGACGTGAATTATTTCTTCCTGAAATAATGCTACTGTCTTGCCTTAGGGTTCAATAACTATTTTATTAAAGTGTCTAAAGAATGTGGGGGAAGAAATTAAACCTGAAATTGATCATAATTAATTCTTCTCTGCATTCTCTTTTCTAAGTAACTTTAGGGAAATAGAACCAGCCAATTTGTTTTCAGAGCTTCCAAAGTCCTACAGCTAATTTAACACCAGGCTGCTCCTTGTTATGAATATTTAAGATTTATGCTCTTTTTGTTTGTTCAGAAACAATTTTCTTCAACCATCCATCATCCTCACAGATTGTAGAAGAGGGCACAACAATAAACACAGTGTAATCAATAGTGCAAAAACAAAGCAAAACACACCGAATGTGCTAATAAGGGCAGAAATGCAAATTCGTTTTGAACTTCAACAAAAAATATTGTGATCCCAACTGAAATTTCTTCTAGTGGGTGTTTCTGAATGTGGGATGTTGCTTCAGAAAAATGCCTGTACTTGGCAGAATTGCGTCAACCTTCCCCTTCTGTCCTGGCCACTTTTTACAGAAGTACAATTGAGAGTGTTTTAACAAATTGCATCCCTGTTTGACATGGTGGCAACAGCACCTCAGATAGAAAGTCCCTACAGAGAATGGTGAGGACAGCCAAGAAGATTATATGGCTCGCTTCCCGTTATTCAGAACGCAGCTTATGTGCTTAAAGCTCAAAGCATTTGTGATGACTAAGAGTGTACACAAACGTGACAAAATCCAAAGCATAAATAAATGTCCTTTAATGCCTCCAACTTGGTCCCACTGTTCAATAATTCTCAGATGAAGATAAAATTTATTCAAAAATAGTCTTCAAAAGAAAGCAATACAGTCCGAACTTAATGAGCAGATAGAGGTGAAATAAAAAACTAAAACAAACTACAAGGAAGGAATTTCCACAATGGACCAGGATAAGTAATTACCAACTGCAAGGAGATGACAAGGCACAGTCTGTAGGAAGGACGCCAACCAAGATAACTTCAGCCCAAAATAAAACATGCTTTGCTTCTGGCAATGCTGTGTTTTAACCGTCTCTCTTATATACTGTTCTCCCCAGCTGCAACCAATGAGGGGGATCATGGCCACTTCCTCTCTCATAAGCCAAGTCGTTGCCTTCTCCGTTCCTCCCTGCTTGTCCTAGGATGCAAAGGGGATGGGCCTGGTTCTTCCTCTGACTGCCCAGCCGGCCTCTGCCCTTCCCCAGCCTCCTCCACAACCTCCAGAGCCACACCTCCACTCCCTGTCAGCTGTTCCTCCTCTTCCTCAGAGTCAGTCTCTTCCAAGGGCATGTTAGAGACCCCCACACACCCACTTCATAGTCTGTTTCTGTTGCTTCCCTCTGGGAGGAGGTTTCAAAGTATTTCTAGCAGGACTACCAGATTCTGAAACAGCTTTGTTCCTTACGCCATCTGCCTGGTAAACTCACAAGATTCGTTTTTCTTGCCATGTGCATATATACATCCAACCAAGACTGTGTGGTATGTGGGTATGTACATAATTTTGTATTTATTTATTTTGTCATGTTTATGTAGTGTATATTGGAGGGGTGATCCTTTGAGAGCTGTATGCAGTATTTTACTGTATGCCGATTAGCGTACATTCAAAGTGACAATAAAGTTCTATTCCATTCCATTCCATTCCATTCTGGAGGACACGACTTATTTGAGGTCTTAGTCCGCATACATTTAAACATAAATTAGAGAAGCTTGAGTTTGCCTTGAGCTTGACTCAAAGAAGCCTTCATTTTTCCCTGGGTTCACAAAAAACACATTCACCTGTAGTTACCTTGTGCCTTAACCCTTGTCCTGCTTCTTTTCCCACTCAACTTAGAGTCTTTTTCCCAGCCCATTTCTGGATAAGTCATGGCAAACTGAACTCACCCATTGGAGAACCCAAGCAGTATGACTTAGCGCATTGTGTAAACCTAGCCATTGGATTTGTTATCTAGGGTTTATAGCTTAGCATGAATGATGTCTTGCACATTTTATGAACATAGACAATACCAATGTTCCAATATTTGAGGGGCTGCCCCAAGGAGGAGGGGGTCGATCTATTTTCCAAAGCACCAGAAGGCAAGACAAGAAACAATGGATGGAAACCAGAGGTGGTCTTCAGCAGGTTCTGACTAGTTCTGGAGAACCTGTAGCAGAAATTTTGAGTAGTTTGGAGAACCAGCAAAGACCACCTCTGACCGGAGATTTTACAGTATCCTTCCCCTGCCCAGCCCACCAAGCCACGCCTACAGAACTGGTAGTAAAAAAAACTTGGAATCCCACCACTGATGGAAACCAATCAAGGAAAGAAACAACCTAGAATTAAGAAGAAACTTCTTAACAGTGAGGATAATTAACCAGTGGAACAGCTTGTCTCCAGAAGTTCTGGGTGCTTCATCAATGGAGGCTTTTAAGAAGAGACTGGACAGCCACTTATCTGAAATGGCATAGGGGGTTGGGCTAGAACAAGGGTCGCCAACCTTTTGGACCTCAGGGACCACCAAACTCATAATTTTAAATCCCAGGGACCACTAACCGGTTCTGTGGGTGTGGCCTAATTTGTGGCTTGGTGGTCATGTGACTGGCTGGGCATGGCTTGTATGTAAATACTATAAATATTTATATAAATATTGATTTTTTTTATTTAAAAAGAGCAACTTTTTACCCAAAATCAGCCAAAGCAGGCAGATTGAGTTGCTCACAGAATCATTTAGTGATAGATCTATCTGCCATCGGCTAGCTCAGTCTCTCAAATTTGCTTGGTGTGAGTCTGCACTGAATAATAGAACCTTCAGTCCTAAGGGAGGTTCAGCTGTGCTTAAAAGCAGAGCCGAAGATCTAAAGATTAGCTAGAAAGCAAGAAATCCAACCATTTCCTGCTTCCTAGCT